CAGAAGCTTCGGTCCTTGTGGAGATGGGACCCGTCTTCCCCGTATGTGAACGTGCTCACCACACTGAAAGCTTTCTGAACCCCATCTTACTGGAGTTTTTATGGGGACTTCCACACAGGCACGACCACCTATTAACTCCACGTCCTGCCCCTCTCCCCTCTCTAGACACTGAGGGATGGGAAGGGCTGCAAATGTCAAGCTCCTGATCATGGCTGGGTCTTTCTGATAACACAGCCCCCCTCTCCAGAAGCCTCCAAGAGCCTGCCTGGAGGAACCTCATGAGAACAACTACCACCACCACCACCAAAATGAAAAACTCCTATCACCCAAAAGATTACAAGGGATTTAGGAGTCCTGCATCAGGAACCAGGATCAGAGACCTATAATATATATGTTTATTATTATTTCGCAACAATCTGTTGTGGGCTAGCTTTGAAGAGGGAAAGACCAGTTCTGTTAGAACCAACAAATTCAATCAAGTTGCATGATACAAAATCAAGACATAAAAATCATTTGTGTTTCCACACACTAACAACAAACTATCAGAGAAATTAAGAAAACAATGTCATTTGCAAGTGAATCAAAAAAGAATTAAATACTTAGGAATAAATTTAACGAATGAGGTGAAAGATCTGAACGCTGAAAACTCTAAGACACTGATGAAAGACATTTAAGACACAAACAGAAATATATCCTGTGCTCATGGATTAGAAGAATTACTATCATTGAAATGTCCGCACTACCCGAAACAATCTACAGATTCAGTACTATCTCTATCAAAATTTCAATGGCATTTTTCACAGAAACAGAATTATCCGAAAATTTGTATGGAACCAAAAAACACCCCAAATAGCCAAAGCAGGCTTGAGAAAAAAACACTGAAGCTAGAAGCTGACTTCAAGCTATATTACAAAGCTATAGTAATCATAACCGTGTGGCGCTGACATAAAAACAGACACACAGACCAACAGAACAGAAAAGAGAGCCCAGAAATAAACGCACACATACAGTCAACTAATTTATGACAAAGGAGGCAAGAGTATACAATGGGGAAAGGACAGTCTCTCCAACAACTGGTTGGGAAAACCGGACAGCCACATGCAAAAGAACAAAACTGGACCACCGTCTCACACTTCTGTGATACTGTGCGTCATAAGAAATATCTATTTGGTCTTTGTCTTCATTGCCAGCACAAAGCTCCTAAAACTCCCCAAATATCCTAAATGAGTACAGTGATAAAGGTGTCCTTTGCTACATTAATGAGTTGACTTTTGGACCTCACCTACAGATGGAGGCTGGGTTGCCAAGAGAACCAACCACATGACTGATGAGAGGGTTGGAGCTTTCAGCCCCACCACCTTGACCTCTGGGGACAGGGGAGGGGCTGCAGGTGGAATTAACTGCCAATGATTTAACCAATCGTGCCTATGCAATAAAGCCTCCGTAAAAACCCAAAAGGATAGGTTTCAGAGAGCTACTGAGCAGGTGAACACATGGAGACTCAGGGAGTGTGGTGCACCTGAAGGCATAGAGGCCCCGTGCCTTTTCCCCCTACTTTGTCCCCAGGCCTCTTTTCCATCTGGCTGTTTCTGAGTTATACCCATCTATAACAAACCGGTAACAAATGAAATCTATCCCTGCGGTCCGTGAGCCATTCTAGCAAAGTAATGGAACCCACAGAGGAGTCATTACAGCCTCCTATCTACAGCTGGTCAGTCGGAAACACAGGTGATAACCCGGGCCTGAGACTGGCATTGAAGTGGGGAGGGGGTAGGATGAGTACACGGTTACAGGACTGAGCCCTTAACCCGTGAGATGGGAAGGGATCTCCAGACGGATAGTGTCAGAAGTGAGCTGAACTGCAGGACATCACCAGGTGTCTGGGCATTGCTTGGTGGTAAGAACCACCCCCCCCCCCCCGCCCTCCCCCACCACACACACACACACACGCACACACACACACACACACGTTGGAATTGGGTACAGAATCACATTACCCCTCAAAAATTAACTCAAAATGAATTCAAGACTTAAATTTCAGACCTAAAACCATAAAACTACTAGAAGAAAACAGAGGGGATAAACTTCCTGACATTGGTCTTGGCAGTGATTTTTTTCAGATGACACCAAAAACAAAAACAACAACAACAACAATAATAATAAAAGCAAAAAGAAACACCAAAAGAAATGACATCAAAAACAAATAAATAATAATACAAACAAAAAGAAACAAGTGGAACCACATCAAATGAAAATGCTTCTGCACAGCAAAGGAAACCATCGACAAAACAAAAAAGCAGCCCATGGAACAGGAGAAAACACCTGCCAGTCCTCTGATGAGGGGTTAATATCCAAAATATACAAACTCACACAACTCAACTGCAAAAACACAAACAATCCAACTCAAATGGGCAGATTTTCTAAAGACGTACAAACGGCCGGGCAATAGGTACGTGAAAAGGTGTTCGACACGCTCATCGTCAAGGAAATGCAAACCAAAACCACAATATCACCTCACACCTGTAAGAATGACCATTATCACAAAGGAATAACACGTGTTGGCGAGGATGTGCAAAAAAGGGAACCATCGTGCACGGTTGGTGGGAATGTAACTGGCATAGCTACTATGAAAACAGGAGGGAGTTCCTCATTAAATTAAAAGGAGATTACTATATGGTCCAGCAATCCCACGTCTGGAAATACAGCCAAAGGCAATGAAAACAGAATCTTGAAGACACATTTCCACTCCCATGTTTGCTGCAACAGTACTCTCAATGTCAAGAGTCAAAAACAACCCAAGTGTCTCACACACACACAAAGAGATTTTCTAACTCGTGCTACCACATGGATAAATCTCGACTGAAGACATCACGCTAAGTAAAATAAGCGAAACACAAAGGACAAATACTGTACGATCCTACTTATATGAGGTTCCTAGCGGCTATGAGGAGTGGAGAAAGGGGTAATAGGGGAGTTACTGCTCAAGGGGTATGGAATTTCAGTTTGGGATGATGACACATTCTGGAGATAGATGCTGGTGATGGTTACACAACAGTGTGAATGTACTTAATGCTGCTGAACTGTACGCTTAAGAATGATTAAAGTGATAAATCTTACGTTGTGCGTATTTTACCACAATAAAAAAACAAAGGAATAGAAAACACCATGCTATGCCAATGCAAACAAAAAGAAAACTGGTGGGGTGCCTGGGTAGCTCAGTCGGTTAAGCGTCTGACTTCAGCTCAGGTCATGATCTCGCAGTTCATAGGTTCCGACGCTGCATCGGGCTCTGTGCTGACATCTCGGAGCCCGGAGCCGGCTTCATTCTGTGTCTCCCTCTCTCTCTCTCTCTCTGCCCCTCCCCTGTTCATGCTCTGTCTCTCCCTCTCTCTCAAAAATAAGTAAACATTAAAAAAATAAATTTAAAAAAATAAATATTTAATTAAAAAAAAAAACTGGTAACAATATTCTACCAAAGTAAGAGAAAAGCAGTAAGAAGGAGTAACTGCATCTCAACAGAACAGAAGGGAAAATCCATCAAGAAGCTACAACTTACAACTTTCACATACCTAACACTGCCTCAAAATATATAAAGCAAAACCTGATGGAATTATAGAAAATCTGACATTTCAAAAAAAACAGTGACAGTGTGCTATTTTAACACACCGTTTCAATGATTTACAGATCAAGTGAACTAAAGTAATAAGTAAACGAAAGTATCTGACCCTTGGGGCACCTGGGTGGCTCAGTCAGTCAAGCATCTGACTCCTGGTTTTGGCTCAGGCCGTGATCTCACAGTTAATGAGTTCCAGCCCCGCATTCAGCTCTGTGCTGACAGCATGGAGCCTGCTTGGGATTCTCTAATTAAATAAATAAGTTTTTAAAAAGTTCCTGTCTCTTAAAAAAGAAAAAAAGAAAAAAAAAAGGAAGTATTTGACCTTCACAATTAATAGGCTTGACCTAACAAAGAACCCTATACATAAAAATCAAGCAATGCACTTTTCAAATCATATAAAGCATTTATGAAAACTGACCATATCCTTCGTAACAAGACTTCGCAAATCTCAGACTCAATATTACGCAGACCCTGTTTTCCAATATAATGCAAATAAATCGTAAGTCAACAAAAATGCACTTTTAGAAGTGCTCCCTATTTAGAAATCTGAAATAGCACTCCTAAGTAAACCATGGATTAAAAATAAGGAAATTACCCTCTAGAACCATTCCACAATTACAATATCACATATTCAAATTTGGTGGATCCAGCTACAGTAGTTCTTAAGACTTAGAAATCAAAATTTATGAGTACTGAATGCATTTAATATTTATTTTTTTTTAATGTTTACTTATTTTTGAGAGCGAGAGCTCAAGCAGGGGAGGGGCAGGGAGAGAGGGACAAAAGCCTGCAAGTGGGCTCCCTGCAGAGAGCCAGAGGCGGGGGGGGGGGGGGGGTCACACCCACAAACTGTGAGATCCTGACCTGAACCCCAGTCGGAGGCTCAACCAACCGAGCCACCCAGGCGCCCTTAACGCATTTAATACTTTGAAGGCTGATGTGTTCAATAAAGAAGCCAGGCTATGAACAAGCTAAAAGTAAAAGAAATTAATATAACAGAAAACGAACAAGAATCAAGATCAATAAAACTAAACGCTGATGAGGAAAGGAGAGAAAGAGTACCCACAGGGCTCTCCTTTACGCAAAGACACGAGGCCACGGGAGTCTGGCCAACGAGCTTTCTCCAACACTCAAAGAACTGAGAATCCTCCTAATAGCACAAACTCTCAGAAATAAAGCCCCTTCCGGGCTCCCGACGCCCTGGCCTTGCACCCCTGACCCCGCCCCGCTCCTGGCCCCTCCCCCCGCCACACCTCAGCCCGGCTCCCCCGGCCCCGCCCCAGCCCTGCCCACCCCGAGTGGCCCCTCCCCCCAAGCCCGGCTCGACAGACCCCCCCCCCTCAAAGTTAGGGGGCCGTCGAGGGTCCCGGCCGCCCGCCCTCACCCACAGCGACGTGGCCACACGGCCGCTTCGGCCCCTTTTCGGGCCAAGAGGCGAAGGTCCGGCTGGCACACGCCGGAGAGAGAGCCGGGCGAGGACAGCCCCGAGGGGAGGGTCGGCGCCGCTACCCCTCCTGCTCGTAACTGCCGGCCAGCCTGGGGCCTCGAGGCTGCTGGGATCCTGAGGCCCTCGAAGTGCATGCTGGGGGCTGGGGGCGGGGGGGGGCGGCTCTAGCAGCGCACCCTGCGTGCTGGGCCTCGAGGCCTGCGCAGTGCATGCTGGGGCCGCTTGCGCAGCGTGTCCTGCGTGCTGGGCCTCGGGGCCTGCGCAATGCATGCTGGGGGGGGCTGGAGCTAGTGGTTCCCGCAATGCATGCTGGGGTCCGAGGCTGGGGTTGGAGCCCGCAGGTGAGGGAGGAGGCGGGCGGTGGCTCCGCGGAGGCTCCCATCCAGGCGATGGGCCCGAGGGGGGCGGGGGGTGTCGTGACACCGGCCATGCCTTTGCGAGACCCAGAAATGTGCGTCATGGGCGGATCAGATAGGTACACTAAGCAGGCCAAGGACCGGGGGTACCTTCTCTCTTCACCTGCTTGAAGGTGGCCTGAATGCTGGAGAAACCGGTGACTGCAGATCAGGCGGCTCTGGGACCTACCACAGGAGTGATTAAGATTTTCACAACCTGGGGGCATGAATAGGCACCTGTTAATAGCAAAAGATGGTATATGGAGATGTAATAGAATGGGTCTAGGAGAAACATTCTAAGAAGCGTGGGTGTGAAAATACCTCCTTTTAATGTGTCTTATTAAAAAAAAAAAAACCAACACGGAATGTCCTGTGTTTCACTCGCCCAACTATTTACTGAGCACTTACTATATGCCAGGTGCACAAGGCACATAGGCCCCTTTCTTTACATTTCGTGGTAGAGGCCACAGAAAAACAATACAGGGTCTACTGTATCTAAAAGTGTGTTTAACTTAAAAAAAGAATACACTTCCCACATTTAATGTTAATAAGCTTGAATATATAATCATTCCGCATGTCAGGACAAAATCTGATGCCTTTGAGCCTTTGAGAAGCTGTTGAGAGGGTTTGAGTGTTGAGGGTGAGGAAAGACCGCGTTAAAAGGAAAAATCATTTTGGAAATACTATATGCCAATAATCATTTATATTTGATAAAATTAGCCAAGACGTTTAGAGTCAACTCAATAAAATATCCGTCAACACAATGTCTAAAACAAAACAAGGTGAAAAAGACAGATGATGAAGCCATGTTCTTCAGTCTTCCCTGTCTCTGGAGTGGAATCTTCTTTGACATGTTCCTCTCCTATTCCCCACCCCAGTTGAATTTATTACCAAGTTCTGCAGGTTTTACCCACAAACTATGTTTGGTCTGTCACTCTGTTCCATCCTTACTGTTTCAGCCGTAGGCAGAGCACTGGTCTTCAAATTCGGGAACGGTGCCTCTGGAGGAATCACAGACTTTCAGGGCTGTGCGGATAGTGATGATTTTAAAGGAAGCCGTTTATAGATCCAGGCCTTCATATATACCCTTTGCTAAAAGCCTGAAGATTCGCCTTTTCTAACCCCTCTTTCAAAATTCCTTCATCCACTTTACAAGAGAAAGACAAGTTCTCTCCTATCTGAAATCCCACTACAAAAACTTGCAAGGACACCAAAAAGCCAGTGCAAAAAACCAAAAAAAACGAAAAAATCAGGATGAGGCACATCTCGTAATGATTAATTAAGGCATCGATAAGCACGTTGTAAGCCTTCCCATTTTTCTGTCTTTATTTCTGTCAAGAGCAAAGAGGGATGCTAGACATCACAGCCATTAGGCTGTCCTGATGGCAGATTACTGTACATAATGTGGACAATGGATTCATGAGGATTTTCTTTTAATGGACTCCTCTCTTCCATACCCTGACCAGTGTCAAATAATTGTTTGCTCTTAATGGAGAATCCAATAAATGCAAAACAGAATCGCTAATAAATATTGCTTACTAAATAGGGCTTTTATTTCAAGTATATTAAAATGTAAGCAATATATTTCAGCTGTTCATAACACTCATTCCCCAGAATACATTAGCTAGCAATAAAAGACCTTCACACAGGTTAGTGACACTAATTCTTCTAAATGTAACTAGAATACTTTCTAGACCACCAGATTCTTCAAAAACACACTGGACAAAACCTGAGGACTAAAATGTTATGAGATTTATTTTAAATTCATCCTGTGATACCCTAAGTTAAAGCATTTTATCTAATTATCTCATGAACTATAGATATAATTTATTCCATGAAGTATCAGATTTAATTTTATAAACTATGAAGTTAAATTACATTGAATTTTCTTCTCATTTTATTTCTTAATATGTGTACTGTTTTCTACTGTCAAAAAAATTCATGTTTTTAGTCTCACATCCTTCATTATATATGTAGGGATATTTTGCTCATCACATATATGACATAAAGAGTTATTTCCAAAGCAATCTCTACGATGCTTTACCACAAAAGCTGATAATCAGTTTTCAACACCAAAGAAGTAGCATGCTTTTAATCACAACCCTTCATTCATGAATCATGTATCTTTTAACTATATATTACATGGCAGTATTATAATTTAGGTAATTAGAAATGGTATATAGATTTATTCTTATTTATTTATTTATTTATTTATTTATTTATTTTCAACGTTTATTTATTTTTGGGACAGAGAGAGACAGAGCATGAACGGGGGAGGGGCAGAGAGAGAGGGAGACACAGAATCGGAAATAGGCTCCAGGCTCCGAGCCATCAGCCCAGAGCCCGACGCGGGGCTCGAACTCCTGGACCGCGAGATCCTGACCTGGCTGAAGTCGGACGCTTAACCGACTGCGCCACCCAGGCGCCCCGATTTATTCTTATTTATATCGCTTATTAATATGAGTATATCTACATTACTTAACCTTGATTTGATTGGCTTTATTAATCCATTTCTAAAAATGCATCCATAATTTCTTTCACAGTACTTTCTGTAATAGCTTTGGAAAAGTTTATTAATCAATTTGTTTGAATTAAAAACTGAAGTCAAATTTTATGATCGAAAGTCCATCCGATTTACCTAATTGATTTGGCAATGCTCATAAACAGCAGACATTTTCCATAAACTCCGTTAACTAAACCCACAGACTGATGGTCTCATGGTTTTGGCAAAAAGATATTATTGAAAGACGTGAAAATAACAAGAGTCTTTAAAACTGTATTACCAAAAGTGTATTAAAATGGTTTAAAATACTTCTAGTTTCCTAGCCCTTTCTGAAAACATTGGTTTAAATGAGGCACCTGTTAGGGTAAAAAGATACAACAGTATAATTAAATCCTTGGATAAAAATCTTGGTAATATTTTGGAGATAATACTTGCCTAAAATTGAGAGAATGAATGGGTAGGTAATCAGTACCACCCTGAGACCTTCCTCCACTGCTGGGCGGCTCCCGGGGGAGCAGGGAGTCCGCACAAAGCCTCTGCCCTTCTCTTCCAGTCCGGCCAAGCTGAGTGGACTCTTCCTGCTCTACTCCTGCGTAGAACCCCAAGGGATCTGATACTTCTAAATTTAAATCTAGCCTTCCATGTCCTTATGAAAGTATATGTAGATATGGAGCTAGATCGATGATGATAGAGATCCACAGAACCTATTTCATTTGGCAATGTATGAATTTGATTTCAACAGCCCGTCTTCATTCATGGGTTCTAGATCTGTAAATTTGCCTGCTCACTCAGATGTGTGTGTATTCCCCAAATCAGTACTTGTGGGGCTTTGTGGTTATGTGCGGACATGCACAGAGCGGTGACAATTTTGAGTGGCCCAACAGGCAGGTTCCTGGCTGAGGCTGAAGGAGGCGATGCCCTGACCTCTCGTTTCAGCCCTCATACTGCGAACAGGCGATCTTTCCAGACCTAGTCAGTGCCACGTTTCACACGTTTTTATGACTTTTGCTGGTATTTTGGCTATATTAAATGGCCCCCAAATGTAGTGCTATCTAGTGTTCCTAAGTGCAAGAAGGCTATGATGTGTCCTAGAGAGAAAATAGATGTGTTAGATACAGTTAGCTCAAGGCTTTGTTACAGTGCTCTTGGCTCTGAGTTCAATGTCAATGAATCATAATACATATTAAACACCTTTAAACAGAAACACACATAAAACAAGGCTATGGATTGATCAGTTGATAAAAACGCTGTGAGTAAATGCTCTCAGGAACCTAACCCTGTATTTCCCTCGAAGCAATGATTCAATATTTGCTAAATCAGTGCTTGCAGCAACCTTTTAGCACCTAGCTTCTGGAAATATCAAGAATCAACTGTATATTTTTACAGAGTTAAATACATGTTTTGGGGCTTCCTTTACTTTTAGCCCTATGAATGTTAGGGCATATAGGGTTATAAATCAATCTTTTCCAAATTTTTGCTTTCTAAAAAAAAAAACAAAACTGAAGGAAGATCTAATAAAATTGTTAACTGATAGATTATAGAAAATAATTTTTACGATGAATTTTTTTTTGGATTTTCGCATGTAACTTGGGGGTTCAAACAATTACAACAAAACTCCTTCATTCTTACCTGCTGTAGTTATATGAACGTGGGTGCTGCCTCTTTCAGCTATAAAAATGAAAAATAGGACCAGAATTGCTGAACCCTGTTTAATCCCATCAATAGCTGAAATAAATCATGTTTCCCATAGAGATGTGAAGTACTTGGGGAAAAAAGTACCTCATTCATCTCACTAAAGGTGATTTCCAAAACAATTTTGTCTAATAATTGTAAAGGTCTCTATCCCAGGATGGCCAGAGCCCAGCCCGTCTGTCATTCTACTCCTCCGCTCTGGACCACGGGCCACTCACCGTGACCCTGATGCCTCTGCCTCCGCTGTCTGCCCCGAAGCCCTCACCTCTTCAACTTCATCTCACCCTCCAGGGAGCAACTGAAACATCACTTCCTTAAAGAAGCCTACCCTGGTGCCCCAATCTAAATTGTGTCCCTTGGCAATCACATCACCTTTTATAATTATGTGTTTATCGGTATAATTACTGGTTTAACGTGTGTCACCCCGACTAGACTTTGCTCCATGAGGGCCTGTTCTCTGCTTCGT